ACCGCGCCGCCGCCGGTTACAATATTTTTTTTCTTTTTTTTTGTCCTCTAAAAACGATGTGCGTCTTATGGTCAGGTGCGTCTTATGGTGCGAAAAATACGGTACTTCTTCCTCTGGTAGTATTTTTTCATTTTTCCAATATTGTGCGAATATGATTCTTGCCGCTGTTATCACATGTAAAATGAAGTATATACTTTGTTTATCAATCTTTTCTGGCATTATACCTAATAAAAAAAGTTCAAGTTTAAAATCTACATGTTTTCCCAACATCTTTTCTAGCCAAGTATGTATTTTTGTCCAATATCTCTTTGCTTTAACACATGTCCACCATACACGATAAGTACCTGATTTGTGTTTACATTTCCAACATCTATCTGATATATTTTTAAACATTTTTGCTAATCTTGCTGGTGGCAGGTGCCATCTGCGAAACATTTTATATAGGTTTTCTTTGTAAGAGGTTAACATTGTGAATTTATAATTTCTTTCCCACAAGTTTTACCATTTCTCTAAATCTATATTATATTCAAAATTCTTTGCCCATGTTTTGTTTCTTTTACTTGTTCATTTTCCATTTTCAAATTCAATAAAAAGTTATACATTTTCTTAATTAATTTCTCATTAGAGGTTAATAATATCTGATCAAACAAGGTTTGCTCTTTATAAAATCCGTACAATTTAACATCTTTATCGTATCTCACTTGCATTTGTAAATATGCCCACCATGATAGATCAATACCCTGATTTTCCATCTCTTGTTTAGATTTTAAATTCCCTTCAGAATTTAGAATATCTTTATATGTCTGTATTTTCTCAAAACTGATTAAATTTGGATGTACAAATGCTTCCATTGTTGAAAGCCATCCTGGAATTTTCAAATATATTTTACATTTTATTTTTTCACATAATGCATTTCTAATATAGTGGTTTTGAAAATATTTATGAATTTTATTTTTCCCATACCATAAGAAAGCAGCCAACCAAGTTGTAAATCATGTCCCTCCAAAAACAATAACCTTTTATTTCTAAGCGTTATCCATTCTTTTATCCATGTTAGTATAGATGCTTGATAATATAAAACTCACTCTGGCAGGCCATAACCTCCATTTTCTTTAGCTTCTTGTAACATTTTCAATTTAATTCTAGCTTTCTTTCCTTACCAAATAAATTTCAAAATTAGGGAATTTAAGTCTTCAAAATCCCCCCCCCCCGTTTTATAGGTATCATTTGGAATAAAAAACAATATTTTTGGTAATATATTCATTTTCACCGTAGCAATTCTTCCTAATATTGACAGTTGCAAGTTTTCCCATTTTTCCAGGTCAAGTTTTATTTGATTCAGTAATTTTATATAGTTATCTTCTTTTATCATTGAACATCTTGCTGTTAGATATATTCCCAAGTATTTAACCTTTTTGACCATTTGTAATTCTATTTTTTCTGACATTTGTTTTTTTGTTTATCTGTAAGATTTTTAACTATCATTTTAGTTTTTTTCTGTTTATCTTCAGTCCCGCTATCTCTCCAAACTGTTCTATCTTTTCCAATAATTTAGAAATCATCTCTAAAGGTTCCTCTAGGATGAATACCAGATCATCTGCAAATGCTTGCAATTTATAAGTTTCACTTTTTATTTCTAGGCCTTTAATTTTTTGGTCTTGTCTAATATTTCTATTTAAAATTTCCAAAGTTAAGATAAATAACAATGGAGATAGTGGACATCCTTGTCTTGTGCCTTTTCTTATGTTGAAGCTTTGTATAGTCTCCATTTACAATCACTTTTGCTGTTTGTTTGTGATATATTGTTTCAATCGTATTTATAAAATTTTGTCCAAAGTCCATTGTTTTTAGTTGTTGAGTCATAAATTGCCAGTAAACATTATCAAATGCCTTTTGAGCATCTAGAAATATTAATGCCAATTGTTTTCCTGGATGCATTTCATAATATTCCAATATGTCCATTATAACAAGTTATTTTTTATTTGTCTCTTTCTTCCGTCCGTTTGAAGAGATTACTCAGTTCGTTTGGGCCGACCACCGTTGGCTCCAAGATCCCAAGGCTTCCCTTCTTCGCCTCTCCAGGGCAACTTTCCGATCCCTTGGGGTTTCCAGACCAAGCGAAATCGGGCTAGGAATCCGGAGCGCTGGTTTCTTTCACCTGTCTCATCATGATACCAAACTGGAACTTTTACAAACTATTCTAACTGCTGAATCACACCCCAAAATTAGCTGACAGCAATAAGTTTTAATTCTATGTCCAGCAAGTTCTAATTGAGTAAAATATACACACTCT